CATTTTCAATACGTGCAAGTTGAGGCATATATTTTTGTAATATATTTGGATTTTAGGCTTTTTCCTTCATCAATCATAGAAAAATTATGAAAAGTATAAAAAATAAAAAAATAAAAACAACTTAGCTAAAAGCGAAATTAAAAAAAAAATAAGGGAAAATACATTCCGGATTTTTTCCAGATATTTTATTCAAACGATTTTCCGGATTTTTAAAATATGACTAGGATGATCTATGTAAAAGTTAGATTTTTTTTGTTTGTCTGAATTATATTTTTTAAGTATCTTTCAAAAGTCTATATTGCCTTATGGTTTGCTTTATTGTTCCTTGTTATATACTGTTTTAAATTTATCTCAAGTTCTTTAGTATCAAAATAACACATTTAAAAGAAAACTACTTGACTTCTTAAAATTTGGTTTATTCTTTTTTCATATTTTTTTAAATTTTATAGTTGCATATTTTTTTAAAAGTTACCTCTTGTTTTTACTGAATTTTACTATAGAGGTATCTTTATAAAAGTTTTCATCTTAAGTGTTGTTTTAATCTTCTTTTTTAAATATTGTTTCAAAAGTCACCTTAAGGTTTTATTTGTTTTACTGAGTTTACTATTAAAAAATCTAATTTTTTTTAATGAAAAATACTATTATATATTTGAGGTTTTTGTTTGATTTGACGCAATTGAGGTTGCCTTAAGGTTTGTTTTATTGTTTTTTACCTTCTTTTTTTTTAAAGTCACTTAGGTTTTCTGTTTGGCTGATTTATATTTTTATAACATCTTTAGAGAGTCTTTGTCGCCTTACAGGTTTGTTTCTTGTTAAATATTATTTTAAATTTTACCTTTTATAACTAGTTTCTTTAGTTATAAAATATAGTATTAAAAAATAAGTCTAGTGGATGCTTTAAGGTTTGGTTTATTCTTCTTCTTTATACCTTGTTCAAAAGCCACCTATCTTTTTATTTATTTTTTTATGTTGTTTAAAAAATCAACATCCCAAATCTCAGACATTTTGTGTTCATATTAAAGTGAATGACAAAACAAATGTTTAGGCTAAATTTTTTTGAATAAAACAAAAGAATAAATGAATACCAAGAAAAACTAACTTTTATTTTTGTCTAAAAATAAAAAAGTTAGTTTTTTTTTTGTTGTTGGCCTAAAATCAAAGTTAATTTTTTTTTATTGTTGGCCTAAAACCAAAATTTAAAAAAAGCTGAATTTCTGCAAAAATTAATTCTACACTATTAAATCTTTTAAATGGGATTAAAATCATGTATCAGGAATGATAAAGAACTCTATGATGAGTAACTTGCAAAAAAATTATAAAATATTATAAACTGCTTTTACTACTGTTACCATGAAAACCAAACCAATAAAAAGACTTTGAAAAAGGCTATTTCGATAAAAAAATCCTAAATTTCAAATTTTGTACTAAAATGACAACCACTGAAAAAAGATTGTTTGAAGGAATGATTTTTTTTTTTAGTAACTTAGAAAAAACTGTTTTTCATGGTTAAGGGACCTGGGAATCAAAGAAGTTTAAAACGCTTTGACCCTTAAAATATCCTGATATTTTTTATTATGTTATGAAAAAAATAGCTCAAGATTAAGCTCATTTATTAAAGTTAAAAATCAAAAATGGTTAAATTCAGCTAGCAAAGTTCTGACTTATTTAATGTTTAACTATATCAATTTTTTTTTTATATATGGTTTTGTTAAATAATAGGTTTTTAGTTTGATGCAAAACTTTTTTAGACTTTAAATTTTGGACCATAATGTTGAAACGTAATGGTTGGTAAGGGCGTTGCTAAGATAAATAATTTGACTTGGATAAATTTATTGAAAAAAAAGTAAAAAAAAAAATATATAAAAGTTTTATAAAAGTTAATATAAAATATAAAAATTCAAAACTTTTTAAAAATACAGAAATTTCTCTTTAAAAATACATTTAAAAAAAATTTGATACATTACAAAAGTTTTGGTTAACATCCATCCACCTTAAGATTTTCTTGTTTGGCTTAATTATGTTTTAAAAAAACCTGTAAAGGGATAGATGTTGTCAGATATTTATTATATTTTAAAAATATCTTTTACAAGTCTTTATGTTTTTTTAAGCTTTCCTTTATTATTCCTTGTTATATAGTGTTTTAAATTTTATGTAAATTTTTTTATTAATAAAGTAAGATTTTTTTTAAAAAAATCTAGGTGACTTTAAGGTTTGGTTTATTCTACCATTTTATATATTGATTTAAATTTTACCTTATTCTTTTTTTAACTATAAAAGTTTCTTTATCTTTAAAATATATTATTTAAAAAAAATCTTGATGACAAGGTTTACTTTATTCTTCCTTTCATATATATATATTGTTTTAAAAATTTCATCTCTTTTGTTTTACTGAATTTTACTATAAAAATATACAATTAAAAAAAATCTATATGTTGCCTTAAAGTTTGTTTTATTGTTGGTTTCTATTTTTCATTTTAAAGTCACAAGTTTTTGTTTGGCTGAATTATATTTTTTAAATATCTTCAAAAAGTCTCTATGTTGACTTACAGTTTTTTATATTGTTTCTAGTTATATTTTGTTTTAAATTTTACTTTAACAGCGCTCGAAATAGTTTTTCAAAACTTGCCGATCAAATGTAATTTTTTGACAAAAACAGCTTATTTTCCCTTGAATTTTTCTAAATTTCCCTAAAAATAGCCGATCATTGATCGTTGATCGGCTGTTATTTCGAGTGCTGCTTTAAGTTTCTTTAGTTATAAAATAAATATTTTAAAAGAACTAGATTACGCCTTAAGATTTAGTTTATTCTTCATTTTCGTATATTGTTTTGAGTGTTTTATTATTATTTTAAGTGTTTTATTGTATATTGTTATAAGTCACCTCAAGGTTCTTCTGTTTTACTTAATTTTACTATAAAATTATTTTGTATAAAAATCTAGTTGTCATCTTGTTTTTAAAAGTCACCTTAAGGTGGCTCTACCCCTTTTTTACTTAACTGTTTAAAAATCAATAAAAATGTCTTTAGATTAAGTTTAGTGTTAATATATTTAATGAAAAAAAAAATTTGACAAAAATTTTTCTAAAATGCTTAAAAAAAAAAGCTGTGTCAGCAAAAATCATCAAAAAAGTATCAAATTTCAAACAATAGTTTCTCAAAATCTTTTAATTGTATTTGAACCAAATTTTGACAGCATACAGGTAAAGTAGTAAAGAAGGTTCTGAACTAAAATCAAAATTCAAAAATGTGCTAATCCATAATGGCTGACAATTCTTTTTGTACATTAAAAAATAAGGTCATTTTAGAAAAATAAAGTGCAATTAAGCATATTCTGCTTGCTCTAAATAGTTGTTTTTAGTTCAGAACCTAGTTCCAATATTGAAGAAAGGTCTGTGAAAATTTCAAGTCAATCGGTCAAAAAAAAGTACTAAAAATTGTCGTTTGAATTCAAGTGAACGTAACAAAAACTTATTTCTGAGAAAAAAGAAAGATAAAATTAAAATAAAATAAATAGTATACAATTATGAAACTAGTGTGCCCCAAAACTCTAAGTTTCACCCCCTGTCTCTATTTTTGTGTCAAAGAATCCTTTTTTAACTGCACTTTTAATTTTTCTCTGTATTTTCCTTTTTTTTTCTTAATTTTACAACTAATTTGCTTGATACGAGTATTATCCTTTTTTGTTGCAAAGCAGTTAAAGTATTTCTCAACAGTCAAATTTAACAATTTAAATACATTATTAAGTTTAATAACACCTTTGTAATTACCTATTGTATTAAATGATAGTAGAATATACTTATTTTCTAAAATAGTTTGTGACACATAATATGATTTTAGGCACTTATTCCAAACTAATTGGTTTTAAGCTTTATTTGGATTTTGGGTAAAATTATGTAAGCACTTTTATAGAAGATTTTCAGAGCAAATATTATTAAATATGCTTTCAACTTCTTTTTTATAGCTAGAAGCAAATTTAAATGTGCTTTGGATCTTGTACTTGTACCTTCAAGTTTATCTCTTTGCCATTTACACAAGCTATTTGTTGTTCGAGAGCAAAACCAATCTCGCGAAAACTCATTACAGCTCATACACTGACTTCTTGAGTGTGTTAATTTTAATCAAGTAAAAATTATAACTCTAATTACAAAATATATTCTAGTTTAAGATTATGCGAAAGTCCTAATTTTTTATCTGGTCAAGACTGACAGTGACTTTGTCATCACAATCTAGACATCTACTTTTAAGTTGACAAAAAAGACAACTTTGCACTATTCCAAAGTAAACTATTATAAAGACGTAAGAATCTCCTTCGTCAACAGGTAGGAGTGAGTCATCTAAAATGATTTTTAATGACATAACAGCTTCCATTGTTTATCAATTTGATTTATTGTAGACCGTGTAAATCTTTTAAAAGTTAACTGTCTTTCTCTGTTTTAACTTATTTTATTTTTATTATTACCAATATTTAATAACTCTATAAACATATAAAGAATAAATGCAGTTATTTGTATTACTGAGATAAAAAATATTGGAAGAAATCACTATGGCATCTTTATCGACATTAACACGACATGAACTACCTACATTACTCCTTCCTTTTCAAATGTCTTAGTTTAACTACTGGGCTCAAAACTACAACTTGTAAATAACAGAATGCCGTATAACAAAGTAGACACTTTGAAAAATGCATTTTGCAGTTTAAAATTAAAGATTTGTGTCAAAAAATGAGCAAACATAACCAAGCTTACACGGTTGCTAAGGTGTTGCTATGGATAATATTATTCACCCTATACCATAAAATCGTAAATTTCTTTATAATGCAACGTATATTTCATCTCAAATGATATATTTTTGGAATCTGCGATGTTTAAACTAGGTAAAGAAGCAAAAAAAAAAAATTGTGATTTTTTTTTTTTTTTTTTTACATTTTTTATAGGGTTGAGCCACCCTAAGGTATCTTTTGGTTTTCTGAGTTTTACTTTAAAAATATCTAATAATAAATATGGAGGTTGCCTTAAGGTTTGTTTTATTGTTGCTTTTTAATTTTTATTCTAAAAGTCACCCTAAGGTTTTTTTGTTTGTCTCAATTATATTTTAAAATATGTTCAGAAAGTCTTTATGTTGCCTTATGTTTGCTTTATTGTTCCTTGTTATTTATTGTTTTAAATTTTACCTTTTAAGTCTTTAGTCATAAATTAAAGTATTAAAAAAAGAATCTAGATGACACCTATATTTAGTTTTTTCTTCATTTTTATAAATTATTAAAGTCACCTTTAGGCTCTTTTTTTTACTGAGTTTCGTTACAAAAATATCTTTAAAATGTATGTAAGATGTCTTAAGGTTTAGTTAATTGTTTCGTATTTTTAATTTAATTTTAAGATACTTTAGTTAATAGATAAAATATATTTAAAAAAATAATTAAATGACACCCTAAAATTTGTTTTATGTTATTTTTTGTATATTAATTTAAAATTCAATTTAAGGTTTTTTTATTTGATTTGTTTGTTATTATAAAAGTTTGTTATTATAAAATTTGTTTGTTATTATAAAAAGAACTATTAAAAAATGCAGAGGTTGCCTTAAGGTATTGTCCATAAGTTGCGCAACAACAAAAAAATCCACGTTAAGTTTTGTCTTTTCGCTACAAAAACAATAGATGTTGGCACTGAATAAAGCTATATTTTATATTTTAAAATATTATTTGATTCACGTTTCAGCTTACAATATATGGTTTGCATGGTTGTTTTTTTTGTTTTTTTTTTGAGGTAAAAATTAGTTTTTAGTTAGTAAATTCTTTATCTGTCATAAAATTATACTGTGAAATTACTTTAAAATAATTCTTTAGGAAATTTGTGAATTAATAAAAGGGATGTAGTGTCCCAAAACAAACATTGGCCTTAAATTAAATTTTTTTCCTATTATCTGGTGTCCAGGATGATGCTGTATAAAATAATAATCTTTAACTAAGAGCACAAAAACTGGTTTGAAACTAAGAAATATATATGTGAAATTAACAACAGATAAAAATGATTTCCCATCTGCATACTAGATTTATAAAAAAAAACTGATTAGAACTAAAAAAAATGCCATAAAAAAATGTAAAATGTTGGACTGCAATAACTCATTTTGCTTGGGCAAGTGTATAAATAATTTTTAAGAAATGATTTTTGTGAATAATTAATAAATGATTATTGTGAATGTCTTTTATTTATCACTATCATTGTTACATGAATGTCTTTTATTTATCACTATCATTGTTATATTTTTATTGTTTGCATTTTGATTGATTCTTTCCCATAATACATAAAATCTATCTGCTTTTTTTTTTAAACTAATTTTTATTAGTTCTTGATTTAAAATATCTGTTGTAACACATGTAGTTTGTACAAACACATGTAACACATGTAACACTTGTAGTTTGTACAAACACATGTAACACATGAAGATTAGCTTTTAGAAGAAATAATTTTGATCTTTTTAGATACGATTATGGTGATGAAATTAAGAAAATGTTCTAACAGACCATGGTGTGTTTTATTTATGTTAATATTTATTTTGTAGTTAATTATTTTTTGTTTATTAATTAATATCATAACTCTATCAAATTTTCTAAATTTTATTTTTATTTTAAAAAATGATTTTATCTTTAGAAAGTTTTAAATTTTGGTTTATTACTATCATTTTTTGTTCAACATAAGAAGTTCAAGCTAATACGTTTTGCTGTGTTACTTTTACTTAAAATATTAAAAATTATTTATAAGGTTTTAAGGTTTTACAAAAGTGGTGTGAGGAGAGGGGGAGTGTGTGAAATCTAAAAATGAATGATATGACAGTTTTTTAATTTCATTTATTTAAATTTCATTTATTTAAATCTCAGATAAGTTATGGACACTTATTGTATTTTTTGAAATATACATTTATTGCTAAATGTTAGTAACATTTCAAAAATTACTAACATTTACCAGTACTTAAATATTTGTTAATAATTTAAAAATTTTAAAGTGCTTTTCCTGTTCGATTAAGTTTTTATGTTAACTGTTCAGTCAATTTGTTGTTTAGAACTTGGTGTTTTGATGTTTCATTGGAAAAGCCATTGTTTGATGATTCTGACTCAGAAATTGAATATCAATATCATTCCACTGTTGATAATATTACTGAATCAAGTTTTACAAAATGTGATCTTATTTTTAAAAAAGAAAATGAGTTAGTGTGTTTATCACTAAACAAAGAAACAGAGTTTATTGCTGTACTTCCTAGTTTAATTACAACTCCTATAATTAAAAGATGTGCTTCTTGGGAAGAACTAAAAACTTTTTCAGAAGCTTCCAATAGCGATGTTCCTAAAGAAGACCTAAGACCTAGAAGATCAAATGATTTTGTCAACCTTCTAAACACATTACAACTGGATGATATTGGAAATTATATTAAAACTGACAAAATCATTTTAATGATTGGTTCTAGATCTTATAGCGCTCTTAAAAGAAAGAAAGATAAAGTTTCAGAGACTAAAAAATTGGTTCGTTCACGAATGCGGTTAACTGCAAGATTATACTTATCTTTTAAAAGTATCTATAACAATCAGAAAGCTGTTAAACTAGATAATATCTTAAATAATGCAGCTGACAAGTACTGTCGAGAAGTAATCACCATAGTTGGAGAAGCTATTAATTCTTTATCAGAAAAATCAAATGAAGATTTGGACCATCTTTTATTAAGTGCACAAAAAAGTGGCTTAAAAATCAGTATACTTAATTTATTAAAGTTAACAGCAAAATTTTTGATCGGTTACTTTTTGGTCAAAAATGATGATTTAAAGTCTCAGAGAGTAGTTGACTTTTTAAAGGTTTTAAATCTTTATGAGGATGATTTATTTGGTGATGCTTATTATAATCTAAATTATCGTAAGAATATTGATTTGCAGAAACCAATTAATCTCCCAAATGAAGATGTTCAACTGCTCATTGAGGAATGTAACAAAATTATGAATTCTATTGATGACTTTCAACATCCATGTGAATCATTTGTCACTATCCGATCTGCAACTGCCACATGTTTGACTATATTTAATGCCAGACGAGGTGGAGAACCAGTGCGGTTACACTTATTTCTGTGGAATGAGGCTTTAAACAAACAAAATTTGCCTGAAGAATTTGATATTGAGCAAATGTTTATCACTTATCAAACAGGAAAAGTTCAGATCACACAGTTCCTGTTCTTTTTCCACCAGAATGCATAAAAGCAATGCGATATCTGACAAACAAAGAAGTTAGGAAAAATGCTGGAATTCCTGATGAAAACCAATATATTTTTGCCAGTACCCAAAAAAGCATGAGCCATGCTTGTGGTTGGCATTGCATAAACGAAATATTAATTCGTTTAGATAAAAAAGGTGCAATTAATGCCACCCAAAATCGACATCGTATTGCTACAATCTTGGCAAAGCTGGAGCTATCAGAAAAGGAAAAAACTTTAATTTATAATCACTTTGGACATTCAGAAAGAATCAATCAAAATGATTACCAAGCTGCTCTTGGATCCTTACAAATAAAAACAACAGTCAAAAGACTAAGAGATATTTAAGAAGTGACCAAGGTTAATCTAACTCCATTTAAGTCAATTATTTCTAATTCAGCTGAACAAGACTATAGCACTATAGGAGAACATGTAATACCAACTGATGGTGAGTAATGTTGATTGCTTTTTTAAAGTTAAATTTAATATAATAAGATTACTTTTTAATTGATTTATACTTTTTTTTTTTTTTTTTTACTTATTAGTTGAGTTGATAACCAAAAATGATAGTAAACTGAATGGTGGTTTAAAAATAAGACCAGTCCTTGATTTAAAAAAAAGTTCAACTGATTTTTTATTTGTTTACTTTTTTTGTATTCATTAAGGTAAGGTTTTTAATTATTATTTTTTTATATTGTTATCATTTTGTTTATAGTTATAGAAAGTGAAACTTGAAAAGTATCCTAAAAGATCTTTCCATGAAGGTTAGGAATGTTAAAAGTTATATAATTTCTTCATTTCCTAATATTAATAAAAAAATTTATATGATGCTTAAGCTACCACAAGCTTAGTTCAAGCTTCAAAGTTTAATAAAAAGTTAACTTAAGTTTTCTAAACTTAAGTAAAGTAATCTGTTTTTTTAATTTATATTTAAATTTTAATGAAAATTTAAAGCTAGAAAAGTTGTTTGCAAAACAGGTTAACAAATTAAAGTTTGAAATCACAAAATAAATTTAGCCTTAATAAATATTGTATGAAGTAAAATAGCTCCAAAATAAGATTGTTTTAACATGTTTAAAAGGTTAAAAGATTATTTTTGATGTTTTTACTAATTAATAAGTTTTTAGTTTTGTTTTGTTTATGCTAAAGCCATTTTGAGTACATTTGATATGCCATAATTTTATTATTATTATAATCTCAGGTTAAATACTGATTGTCGATGCTGTCCTCTTTTATGTTTTTTAATTTCATTTTTTTGGATTGTATAATTTGTCTCTGAAGGGTGTTAATAATTTCTATTTAGTTGATTTTACAAAGATATCTGGAAATAATAGTAAAGTGGATGGTGAAATAAAGACAAAGCAAGTTCTAAAACTTGAAAAAGGTTTAATTGCTTATATTATGTTTTTTACCTTTTTTAAAATGCATTTATTAAGTTGGTATTCCCTATTTTAAAGTAAGGTTGATAAAATCATTGGAATTAAAATAATACTTTTTTATTTAACCCTTGAACTATGTTTAAAGAAAATAAAAATATCTCAATTTCAACTTAAGGACGCTTGTTGAAGCCAATACTGACAAGGTTTGGTAAATCATTACACTGGGGTCATCCCACTGTGTAATGACCTCACGCTCTAGGAGAGGGGTTAATGGCTTTGTAATGCCTAATACGTTACTTGTTACTCAAGTGTCACGGTATTGTGACATGGAAAGGAGGGGGTCAAAAACAGTCGAAAATGGCGTGACGTAATTTATGGACGAGCCCACTGGCAAACACTAGTCAAAGGCTTTCTCAAAAATTTTAAACGTTTTTTATTCATTTGGAAGAGTTCAATTTTTTTAAACTCTATTTAAATATTATAATTCTTTTAAACAATAATGGCATTTTAACTTTTTTGAAAGTAAATAATCAGAAATTGATAGTTTTGAAACTGCGTATGCTATTGTAATAGTAAATAATTTTGGACGTACTTAAGTATTTGTATATTTTTACTTCGAACCTCTATATATTCACTTTTAAATATTAATGTCCTTTCCCCTTTTCCATCACTTCTAAATATTCGTGTCTTTTCCCTTTAATTGTGTGAATTTTTGCCTTTTTGATTATTATTTACTAAGATTATTATTTTATTATTTTTTTTTAAATCAAGGAAACGAAGTGTTGAAAATGTCTTTACTAATTTTATTTTATTCAGAAAAGGCGATCAATAAAAAGAAAAATTTAACAGTTGAAAAAAAGTCATGGAATAAGTCTAGTAAAGTTGCGTTTAACAAAGAATTTGCACTTCATCTTAAAAATAATCGTGGATATCTAGGTATTTTATCATTAAAACCATAAAAAACTAGTTACGCTGCTCTTTTTAACGCTCTTTTTGTTATTTACAAAAACACATTTATAGAAAAGTTAATCCATAAACAGTAAAATCTTTAAAATTTTAACTATTTATATGTTAAAACGGCCCGTAATTCGGCTATGAAAAAATTAGATTCACTTGTTGAGATTTCGTTTATTATTATTTTTTTCTAAAATTAATAATTTTATCGTTTTCTTTTTTTAGACCGTAAAGAAATGGAGGTATTTGCAGAAAAATTTTGTTTAGACCTCAAACAAATCAGAATTAGAATTGTTAATACTCGAAGAATAAAACAGAGTTTTCGGAAGAAGACAGTTGCATTTATGGGAATTGACGAATGCTACTAGGTTGCTTTTATGCCCTTAGCGGGCTGATTTGACAAAAGGAAGCCTGCTACCAAAAAATTAAATGTCATTTAATATCATTAAATCTGTAGATTAATACGCGTTATTTTAGCATATGAGTATAGTATAAATAGTATAAACCTCTTTCCTAAAAATAGATAACTTGCTCTTTATTAAAATTTGTGTTAAAACTGTAATATGGTGCCTACTTGCGTCAGTTTAAACCCTGAGTATTTTAAACTGTTATTGTTTTTAAGCTTTGTGATTCGAGTTTTTTTTATAATAATGTATTAAAACTTTATAAAATAATAAAAAAGAAAATTGTTATTATTTTGAAATATGCTCCGAATATAAACGATAAACGAGGTAAATAAATATTTGTTAACTTAATCTTTATAAAAAAAAATATTTACATATAAACAAAAATCTGTCACCTTACAGTTGATCTAGGGGTTTTTTTTCCTTTAGGCGACTTAAAAATATACAAAAAACGTTAAGGTGACAGCAAATTTATATAACTCGTATAACTTTTTCAGTAAATATTAAATTCACGAACAAGTAACTGATTAATCATCATTAATCTCTAGCGAATCTGTTGCACGTTTTTTTTTTAAAAAAAGTTGAAAATTTTCATGAGTCGCCTTAAGGTAGTTAATTTTTTACTGTTGCCTTAAGGCGCATCTAGGGTTATATATATATATATATATATATATATATATATTTATATATATATATATATATATATATATATATATATATATATATATATATATATATATATATATATATATATATATGGTCAAATCATAATATTATTTAGGAATTCCTTCATATTTATCGTTTTAAAATAAGTGTTCAACATTTACCTGTAGACCCCTATATATAAATGTCCTGGGATTATTTTGAAATTTAAGTTCACTTGAGTTTCATCGATAATTATATTTGGTTTCTTTTTACATTATTTGTATAACTTTTCTGCACAACTTCGTGATAATCTTTTTTTTTTCAGCATTGCAACTTTATATATCTTTAAATTCTTGACTTAATGGTTTTTCTTTATAATTTAAATCTTTTGTCTAAAAGTTATGCATTTTTGCCATAATTTTGACCAAACTTTTAAAATGTTTTTCAAGTTGTTACCACTGTTAAATAATCCTAATCATAGTCCTTTTTGAACACCCAACAATTTCTAAAATTCGTCAGCTTGGAATACAAGTGTCGATAATTTATTAAAGTTAGATATATATATAAGTAATTAAAATTATGTAATAATAGTAAATGTAATGTAAATAAAATCTAATTTATAGGTATATAATCAGTTTTCGTTTATTTAGAGGCAAATTAGGATTTTTCACTAAAGGAGTTTAAACTTTTATTATGCACTCGCTGCTATTTTGTTGTCATTTTAAACAATAATTGCAAAATTAGCACATGCTAAGGTGCTAATTTTGATCACTTTCTTTCTCCAGATTCTATTCTTTATCTCTATAAATCTTAAATCCATCCTTGTATGGAATATTGTTGTCACATCTGAGTCGGATCTTCCAATAATGCCCTTTCTGTTTTAGACAAGGTGCAAAAACTCATTGTAAATATAGTTGGACCTGTTCTTGCAGCCAACCTCCGACCATTATCACTTTGTCGTAATGTTGCTTCTCTTTCTCTTTTCTAAAAATACTATAATAAGCACTGCTTTAAAAAGCTAGCGCCTCTTGTGCTATCTACTAAAATTTATTCGCGTGTGATTAGTCATTCAATTGAGTCTCATCCTTTTTCTGTAACTGCTCTTAAGTGCTCTAAAAACTAAAAAAAAAAATTGTCTAGTTTTTTTCCTCGAGCATTAATTCTTTGGAGTTTGCTTACTTCATCTTCCTTTCCTTCTTTCAATCGTTATCTTGCTTTATAAACTTCATTTTCTCCCCTCCAGTAACTTTTAACTCTAATTGCGGTTGCTTAAAGCCTTAATGGAAGCGAAGATGTTAAAAAAAAAATCTTTTTATGTTTGAAAAAAATTTTTTAATTTAATTACAAATAAGTAGTTATTAAATTGTTTAATTGCTTCTTTTTTTTGTAAAGCTAAATTTTAATCAATAAAGTGTCAATTTTACTTTACCCAACTCTTATTGGCAAACTATAGAAACGATATTTAAAAATAAGTAATCAGCAGTAAAAAAGTAAACATAATTAACTTGATATACTTATCATGCGAGGCATTAAATAGGTTTATTCATGAAGTATAAAGTATCTTGGTATTAATTTAAAATCTTCTTTTAGGAAAATATTCCATTCTTACTGAGAGTAGCGTTGATAAAAGATGTATTTAAAAGCCTACAAAAAATTATGAGGACTTTAATTTTGCTATAAGTATAACAAAAACTATTGGATACTGTGACAAATACAAACACAAACTAGCAATGACATTTTAATTATAAAAAACTGTTTAATGGTCTTAAACAGTTTTTTATAATTATCATTAACAAGAAGAAAAGTTATTCTTACCTTGACGGCGTGGAATTCAATTTTATTACCAAAACTGTTGGCTAATGATCATTAAAATAAATTTCAGTACACCAAAATTTACTAAATTAAAACCATATTTCAACAGATGTCAAACCATAAATAATCATAAATAATGAAGCGGGCAGAACTTTAAGGTCTAACTAAAAAAATGACATAAAATATAATATAATAAAAAAAACATTTTTAAACTTGCATTAAATACATGATTCTTTTAATGAAATATAAAAGAATCAATAGCTTTCTTTTTTTTAAATCTTTGCTTCCAACAAGGCTGCAAGCAACCACTAATTAGAGAGTTGGAAGTTACTGGAAGAGGAAAGATCAAGATTGTAGAGCAAGAAAATGATTGACAGACGACTTAAAAGATTGCAAATTATATGAATCTGGAAAGCAAGATAAAGGAAGCGAGGATTAGGAGTTTTTGGAGCACTTAAGAACAGTCACATAAAAAGGATGAGACTTGATTAAATGATGAGTCACATGAGAATGAATTTTAGTAAATGACACAAGAGATACAAGCTCTTTAGAGCAGTGCCCATTACAACATTACGACAAAGTGATAATGGTTGGAGGTTGGCAGGTCCAACTATGTTTACAATGCGTTTTTGCACCTTGTCTAAAAGACAAAGGGCATCATTAGAAGATCCGCCTCAAATATGGCAACAATATTCCATACAAGGGCGGATTTGAGATTTATAGAGATAGATAATAGAATCCGGAGTAAATGTTGAGCTCAATAAAGAGATGCAAATTAAGCAGATGCTAATTTTGCAATGGATTTGATATATGGTTTCCCAGAAAGATTGGAAGTAAGAGTTAATTCAAGAAGATAAAGGGTAGATGACTCATCGAGTATATTACCGTTCATAAATATTTAAATAAAAATTTAGGACGGTCTAAATCATTGCGATAACGATTGCCTGGAAAAATTGAGTCTTATTTGAATAAAAGTTCATCAGCCACTGTGAGCCCCATGCTGTTGCAGAAGTGAGATCCTTTTCAAGCTCAAATGCCCCCTCTAAGCAATCAGAGAGTATTGGCTTCTTATCATGACAAGAATAAAAGGTAGTATCATCAGAGAACAATGTCACCTTAGATGTGAGAATATCTGGAAGATTGTTAATGTAAAGTAAAAAGAGTATAGGGCCGAGGATTGAAC